GGTTGCAGTATCAGCATTATGAGAATTTCTGTCCGTTTGATATGTTATTACGTGAGTAGAGGCATTTTGGATCTTATAAAATTTTTGGCTAAAAGAGCTACCTGTTTTCTCATTACTTCATTAACTTGTTGCTGCCAGGCCACGCCTATAGTTGTCATAACAAACTGCTTGATCTGCTATATGCATAGACTGCTGCTGCATATAGCAGGAGAGTTACCAGAGATCACCAGAGTCAATGATGCTGAGAGATTTCTAATACTATCATCTAAGAGTTTTTCCTTTCGATCCGATTAATGTAACCATCAAGTCATGAAAAGACTTGCCTTGAGGGGCGGGTGATGTGAACATGCTGTCAGGGGGAAATTTGGCCTTGGGCCAAGGAAAAATAGCCTATTACCATCTGGATAAAGCAGATCAAATGACAAATATGGACATTAGAAACTGCACATAAGTTTTGTGTGTTTCCCTGTATATAAACCGCACACCCAGCAGTGGCTACTCATATAAGCCAAATAATGTCAGTATTTTGGGCCATGTGATTACTGAGAAGCACCTGGATCCAAGGGGTTAATGATGTAATGGAAATGAACCTTTGGTTGTGAGGCTAGACCCCCCCCCCCCCACCCTTGGTTGATTGTGATTATTACAAGTAATATAAATTTGCAAGTTAAATTTGAAAGTAAAGCATAGCAAATTGCATGTTGTGCATTACGCAAACCACTACGAAAAAACAGGCCAAGGATTAACACTAGTTTGTAATTGTACATTATTTCACTTGATATACTTACCTTTCAGAATGGAATGGATGAGCTGATAACAGGTGATACTGTTCAGACCAGAGTTCCCGATACTAAGGTGTTTGTTAGCTGAGAAAACATGTGTCCTTCTGATTTGAATTCAGGTAATTTGTAGTTTGGGTATGCATTCCCTCTGTCATTTCCAAGAAACTATATATGGCCCTTTTTAATAACTGTTCGTGTGATATAAAATGCTGAAGTGTGTACAGTTTTATCGAAAATCTATGTAGTGATGATTATTCTTTGTTATGATTTTAAGTATGGATAGGTTCTTATCTGGGAACCTAACTTCAGGGTGTTAATTTACTGCAAGTCTAAAACAAGTCTTTTTGTACTTTTCAGAAACAAGTTGATGTATATGTGCAACTTTTAGAGCAAAGTACTTATCTGCTGAAGTTTTAGAGAGGACCAACAGGCAGAGAATGACACTCGGTTAGGAGCTGTAGTCTCTCGTGTTTCAGTTTTAACTTCTAACTGAAAAGTTTACAGGGAACTACTATCTCCATTTACCAGGGCTTACTGTGTGAACAACTTATGCCAGTGAACTATTTTAAGCTGCCAATTACCATGCTTGACCGAGTTAGAATCTGTTGCAAAATCTTGAATACAAGGAAAATATTTAGTACTTAAAGATAAAGGCATCTTTCATTTAGTTTTTAAGTTCTCTTCCTGTGGAAGTTTCAGAGTATATTCACTATTTTGCTACTGCAGTCAGAGCAGTACCTCATTATTAAAAGAAAATAAATATAAAAAAAACAAAAAAAAACAACAAAACAAAAAAAAACCTTGATAGTTGTGTAAAACTAAGGATGATCTTTCAGTTTGAATGAAAATGGCCTGATATGGGAAGGTAGTAAAACCATCCTTTTATTTTAATTGGTGGACACTTGTAAATATGTACAAATTTAAGGGCAGGAGATTGTTGAGTTTGTCATATCATTTTAATGTTTTTCCACCATTCTGCCTGTTGTACATACATGTTCTAACAATGTTTCAATGCTGTAACTGTTGTTGGTGAAGTTTTCACATTTATCTTGTATGTAGACCACTACATGATTGTCTGGCAGGTTCTAAAATGGTAAAATACAAATGGGATTATATTTTCTTTAGCAATAGTGAAATGCAATGAATTCCATGCCCAAAGTATTTTTATAGTTTTTGTAATCAGTGTTTGTATTTAATGTTATCCTTTAGTTCACTTGCAGAAGTTCCATTTTTGGAAGCACTTTGCCAAGGTCTGTGAGACAATCGGTTCCTGACAGTGTAAAGCTTCTGAAGTTTTCATTCTGCACAAATCTTGGAAATAAAGAGAAATGTGCTAAATTTTGTGTACAGAAGATAAGGCCAATTCTTTTTTATATCTATTAGACTACATTTCATTGGAAAAAGAGTGTCCTGTTGTGTTGGTTATGCATTCACCGATTTATGAAATGAAGTGTGCCAATAAAATGAATCACGGCAGTTTCATACTGCAATTGAAAACATTTCAGTCATCTTGCAAGTCCATCTTGTCTGATTTTTTCTTTTGTAATAAAATGTTGTTCTAATGTTTTGGTTTTATTGAATATTGGAAATTTACCATTACAAAGTCATATTTGAACATGACTATTTACAACCTTTGTACAATATACAGTAAGAACTCCTGCTCTCAACATAACACCAGCTACAAAGTGATATACTGTATAATGGGTCAATTTTGTAAACCTACAAAATCTTGATGTATATAAAAAGGAAACAATACCCTAAAAAGTACAGACAAAACATGAAGTAAACAGGTCTTCCAGAATGTAACTGCATTTTCTCCCAAGAATATTTTCACAGCATGGTTTTGATTAGCCTTCAAACACTTGCAATAATATTTGTTCTGCATTCCATAATATTGAAACCTTTTAACAGATGAATAATAGTATCGGTTTGATGGTAATATTTATATAATAATCCAACTTGCTCTTCTTGTCTAGCTATCTTGATGGACATAATTTTTCTTTTGTATTTCCTTTGGACTGTTGCCGTTACCATAAAATATATATTTTTTTCTCTTAGTAATGTACATTAAATCAGAGCTACCTAATATCTGAAGTTTTATACAGGTTTGTATATTTTTCTATATCTGAATATTCATAAATCTGCTATTGAAATAAAGAGAGAAAAGTAAACACAAATATTTGTATCAGTCTTCCATACTACCATCAGTCAAGTACACTAAGAATTTAAAAATAAGTTTTGTTAGGATAAATTAGGGTTATAAATAGAAGGAATACAAAGAATATTGGCCACTGTGGATGTAAAACTAATTAAACTCCAAAATGCTCACTGCTGATATGCATTAAGAAGAGACTTACTGACTTTTACTTTCTTTTTATGAAAGATGCTGGTAATATAAGTGAAGTTGATAAAAGTAACTTAAATTATATTAATACAAGCAGTAAATATAAAAATTTAATATAGATATTACCAAAAAGCTCATTACTACATGCATTTCAGAACATGTCTTGGATTGTAGGTTTCACACATACAAAAAAATATATGGATAGTGATGCTCCAAACATTTATGTAACACACAAAACTGGATTTCTTCCAAACTTCTATACTGAAAACTTGCTCTAAAACATTAGCTAAGCAGTTTATTTTTCTTAGATTTTAAATAATATGAATAACTGTTAAAATGCAATAACTGATAACAAACTGCCATCGTATGTTATTCAATAAAATGATATCATTCATGATTTCATGACACGAGATTAACATTGCACAACAATATGAAACAGCACACATGCGCAACACACATACATACTTAACATTGAAAAATCAATGAAAAAAATCAGATGACAGCATGTTAAATTAAGTTATATCTGTCTATTTACTTTTCAGTCAAGTGTACATTACTTGCCAGTCCATTTCACAGCACATATAAAGAAAATATAAATATGATACTTTTATCAAAGTCATGTTAAACTTATGTAGTGGGAGAAGAACAACTCACCCTCTTTGTATTTGGCAGTTAGAAATTAAAATTCATATAAATTTAAGTATAAAGATGAAACTTGCTTTAAAAGAGGAAATTTACTAACTTGAAACAATGGGTAAAATCTGATTTACTAAATAAAAGCCTGATACATTTTGAGAATGAATGAATTTGAAAAAAATAAAGTGGAAGTTATGATAATTTATATGCATGCTAAGGAATAAAACTGATAAAGCACAAGTTAACATAAATAATTGTTAAAATAGAATTGTAAAAATAGTCATCCAAACAACAAACTATGATAAAATATTCTTCACATGTGAAATATATGTTTAAAAAGTAATATACAATATGTGATACACAGGAATTGATATATCACCACTTTAAAGTTGATATTACTTTTTTCTGTTTTCTTCAGTTGAAAGGCCAATGTTAAGAAAAAAAAAGAAAAAGAAAGAAAGAAAAATAAAAGAAAGAAAGAAAAAAAAAAGGTGAATAGACTTCCGAAGAGATAGTTGTCTACACACAACCAATTGTCTATATGGATGGACCACTACTTTTGTTTTTCAATGTATTTAAAGTTTCACTTATGAACATGTGTACTAAAAATTACTTATGTTTCTGTACATGGAAAATAGCACAAAAGTGTCCCTTTTCCTTAACTTGTTATATAATAACAGGTTTATAATCAGGGGTAAAAAATAAGTAAGTGTCACTCAACTACACCAAAGGACCTTGAAGTCTGTCTTTCTTTGTATTCACAAACAACAATGAAGAGATGAAAGTGCACCAGCCCTTTATTCCAATGTCAAGCTTTCTCCATACAAATTTCAAAGGGATGTATTTCACACTTCTCAGAATGCATGCGGACCACTCGTCACATCTTGGATGTCTCAAACATTGTCATCTGGTGTCAGAACCTCCATTTCAGCAGCACTGTTATGACTGGTGTCTGAGTCCTCTAGTGTTGTATTGGCTGTGACGTTAAATTCATCATCAAATTTTGCATATGCACCACGCTTACCCGAGTCAACAGTAACATCAAGATTGTTAACCTTGAGCCTTGCATACTCATCATCACTTGCTTCTGCATTAAGGTTACTGACTTTGGGTACACCATCTGCACGGCTTGACAGGCGGGCATATTCGTCATCCAGTGATGCTTCTGGCCGGGAAATGTTTAATTCGTTGGATGACGAAGATGACTGGGCTGAACGTCTACTCTTGAAAGTTCCACT